TTAGCAGCTACGGACGCATGGATCAGACAGCCTGCTGGGAAAGGCCTGGAGTGGATTGGACGTCACTGTCCTGGATGTAGTACCAAACTCATTTACAAAGATTCACTGAAGAACAAATTCAGTATAAATGTAGATTCCTCCAGTAACACAGTGACTCTAAATGGACAAAACATGCAGCCTGGAGACACTGCAGTGTACTACTGTGCCAGACGACCACAGTCACACAAAGTATATGTAGAGCTGTACAAAAACACATCAGACTGTTATTCACTGTGGCCAACACAGGAGGAGCTCTCACACCACTAAACTCAAGTGTTAAGATTTGTTTAATTGCAGCTGGACTTGTGGTAACAACTTCCTCTTTCAATAAACTTTGTATTTGTAAATATTGTGGTTGTATTTGCATATATTGAATGAGGAAGTTCTTAGTGGTTTATTTTGTGTTAAATCCACAGAATTGTTTAATACATTCATATGTGTTACATAGAACATATACATTTTTCTTAAACTACTAAACTGCCTTTGATAAATCTATGTGACAAAGACACATTTGAGTTTCCCACTTTTAGCAACTTTCAGGAGCAGCAACTTTGGTGTAAAACTTGCCTGGGTAGTTACAGCCTGTTGTTACACCAGATGCACTTGCTGACTCCCGTTGGACAAAGACACAACAGGTCAAGAATCTGAAACAAATCTTATATCATTCTGGGGAAGAGTGTCTTAAGCAGTGGGACCATCAACATTCCCCAGGGCTGTGTTCTTTCCCCCCTGCTCTTCTCCCAGTCACAGATCACTTGTAAATGTGACTTTGATGAGAACCTGAAATGTCTTGTGTTAGTATGAAAAGGTCATTTTGGTTTGTTTTTGGCTCATGTTACGCCATTTCCTGATTTGTTCTAATGTTGTTTTCTCATCAAAATTATACCCAGAGTTGTTTTTATTTCATTCACACAAACCCTGCATATTTAGGCTGCATTTAAAAAACAGTGTATTCCACTTTGTGATGTCATGTAGTAATTCAGGAAGTGCTCCACTGTGTTTTTAAACTCCATACACCTTCACAATAGAATATTTGGATGATTTCAGTGCTGAAAAGTATAATCTCTACTAAACTAAAGGAAAAAGTTAACTTGAAATTTACAGCTTGATGACATCACAGGGTGGAACAGATCACTGATCTTTGGACATGTAGATAGACTAATAATAAAGGGTTACTCAAACATGTGTGAATGAAACAAAACACAACTTCAGGTCTGAGTTTGAGGAGGTAACAACATTATGTTTTAAAGCTCACAGGACTCAAATTTGGGCAGTGCAGACTTTAACTATGTCTCACAATGGTTACGACAAACTTGAATAATGAAAGTAAGTGTTTAATCATAATACAATAAACATCCTGGATGCATTTATTTTAATATTCATTATAAAGAAAACAGCTGGTGATGATCTGAAGTTTCTGAAGTGAATCAAAACATGTCCAACATTAATAATTACTGATATTTTCACACACATGCTCCTACATTTATTTTATAATTAGTCTCCCTCTGATGTCCCTCCCTGTTAGTGTGAATGCAAACTACTGCTGTGCTCCTGTGTGTTTATGTAAGGCCCATGTGAGAGTGTGACAGTGCACTCCACACTGATGATGTTGTCTGTAGCTCTTCTGCTGCTGCTGGCAGCTGGATCCTGTAAGTCTCTGTTCACATCAGTAAACTCTGGTACAACTAAACAGCACAGTTTGATCCTCAATATTGTGCTCTGTGCTCCACAGGTGTGAAGGTGAGACACTGACACAGCCAGCCTCTGTGACTGTGCAGCCAGGACACACTCTCACCATCTCCTGTACTGTCTCATATACTCTTAGAAGCAGCAGAACACACTGGATCAGACAGCCTGCTGGGAAAGGCCTGGAGTGGATTGCAAGTCACCATGAAGGACACTCTATGCAACTCAAAGAATCTCTGAAGAACAAGTTCAATGTAAATTTAGACGCTTCCACAAAAACAGTGACCCTGAGTGGACAGAACATGCAGCCTGGAGACACTGCAGTGTACTACTGTGCTCGGGAGCCACACACTCTCACACAAAGTATATGTAGAGATGTACAAAAAGGGATAGTGTTGTGTAAATGGACGTGTGGTATCAACTTCCTCTTTTCAGCTCTTGAATGCATACTTGTTGCAGACATGACAATAGGCCTAACCCTAACACTCAGGAAACAAGGAATAACCTTTGACAGTATGGTACAAATATATGGTACAAATTCATTAAAAGTGTAAGCTCATTGCTACTGCATACTAATTCATTCATGAAGAAATTAAAAAGACAACTCTCCTTTTTATAACCATCCGTCTGTTATGATACATACAGACTAAAATGTCTTTCCCAGTGTTAAAGAATACATTGTGCTTGAGCCTGTTTTACAGTTTTAATCTACGACACCCGTGTTATAATGTACACATTTAAAATCACAATATTCATCCACAATGACTTCATTAAAGAGATTGGCAATTCCAAAGCTGTGATGATCCAAAAGATTCTCGTGAAGGTGTACAGAGTTTAAAAACACATTGAAGCACGTCCGGTATCACCACGTGACATCACAAGTTGAAACAAGAGTTTTTTCTGTTTGAGAGAAGAACTCAGTCTAAATATGCAGGATTAGTGTGTTGAACATGTGTGAATGAAACAAAACACAACTCCAAGTTTTTGGAGTTTGTGATGAGGAAACAACATTATACATTTTGTGTACAAAATGGTTGCTAGGTAACAGTTATGGATTACCCGTAGTGTGATGTCAGATGATCAGAAACCTAAAAAATTGGCAAATTAGGGGAAATCTTGTCTCCCTGATTTCAGAGGACATGATCTGACAAACCAATCAGAAACTTCAGCTCTGTTCACTTCAAAACAAACATGGCTGCATACTCAGAAAAAGGGAGAAAAATCTACTTAAAGGACTGAGAAACAGAGCGGATTCTTACAGGATCAACGATTGAAGCACCAAACTTTTACTTATTTCAGGTAAAAGAGGTTCTATATTTTGGAGAGGAGATGTCCTGTGCATTTGAGGGACACATGATATATGAAGTAAAATCATGTTTAATGATGCTTTTGATAAGGATGATTTTAAGATGCTGAGAGAACTGGGAGTGAATGATGACACAGAATTGTTGACAACCTGGTAAAAAACATCTCTCCTGTTAAGGTGAATCTTTAAATACATAAACTAAACTAAAGCTATTTTGTTTAGCTTACATTTTGAATACATAAAAATACAGTCTATACCAGTTAGCATTAAAGGTTGTATTTAGGAATTATTTATTTATTTATTGTTTCAAACTGTCAATGAAAGTTTAAAATAGCATTAAAGAGATGCAGCAGCCTTGTAATTATGATGACCAAAAAAAAAACACACACATTATAGATAACTAATAGATAACGAGGCTACCTCGTACCTCGGGGGGTGTCAACATCTGAAAAGGTCACTGTATTTCTCTTTCCTTGGAAAATCCTCTATACAACCTTTAAGTCCACGAGACAAAAAGAGTAAAAAAAAAAAAAGACAAAAATTAAATTCAAATAAACAAACTAATGTATTAACAGCTTGTTTTGGAAGGAGGGGTGATTATTTTATCTATTTTTATTGATTGCTGGATCTGTGTTAAATATAATATTTGAGATTAAAATCAGGACTAGAATAAATAATTGAATTAGTGGAGATAAATAAAAGATACAAAATTCTATTAAATTACAGTTATAAAATTACATATGGGTTAATTAATTTGTAGAAAACTGAATTTTTTCTGTGTCTCTCTGTCAGTGAGAGGAGGAGTGTATGCAGAGCAGATGTAAATGTGTGTACAGTACATAGTGTGCTGCTGCTCCTCCTCGCTCACATGTGCAGTCTCAGGATGGACACACTCACTCTGCTGTGGGCTGCTCTCTGTCTGCTCTGTGAGTTTTCCTCTTTCACACTCAACATCAGCTCCACTTACACACAATGCTCCTGTTATTGAAGCATCTCCTCAACACATTTCTGTCCTCCACAGTGTGAAGTGTTGAGACACTGACACAGCCAACCTCTGTGACTGTGCAGCCAGACACACTCTCACCACCCCTGTACTGTCTCATATGATGTTACGCTTTCTGGTGGCTACTACACAGCATGGATCAGACAGCCTGCTGGGAAAGCAATGGAGTATATTGGATATCACTGTGCTGGATGTACGATTGTACTCAAAGATTCACTGAAGACAAGTTCAGTATAAATGTAGATTCGTCCAGTAAAACAGTGACTCTGAATGGACAGAACATGCAGCCTGGAGACACTGCAGTGTACTACTGTGCCAGACAACGCTCTGCACAGTGATAGAAAACACATCCACAGCTGTACAAAAATGTACGTCAACAGAGTTTTTCCTCCACTTTAAACACTGGCAGTGTGACACACATAGAAATAGAAATTTTTTTTTGTCATTGTCAAAGACCAAAATGTATGTTTTGTATACAGTATAAACATCACAATTAATACAAATATATTCATCACAAAAACGTGTTCATGTATTGTATTTAATTGTTAAACATTTAAATTTCATTAGTCTCTCAGTGAAAGATAAATCCAGCAAACAGAGACTAATGTGTGGATTTCCACAGGGCTCCATTTTATGACCAGCTTTGTTCTCCCTGTGTATGTTAGCACTCGACTTAATATTTAGAACATATTTAAATTCTTTTCACTGTTTTGCTGATGATGTTCATATCCACACACTATTCAAATCAAAGAGAGTCTTATAAGACCTTGGGAAAATGTCTCAGAGAATTCAAAGACTGGATTATATTTTAAAAATGAAAACAAAAGTGAAGTATTTATTGTTTGGTGAGTCTGGTCCCGTTTGTTAACATGTTTCTGTTTTCTTGTCATTATTCACAACCTTTTGTAAGAAAACGTGGGGTATTTCTTTCTTTATTTCTTTATTTACTGCCCACCAGTTTGAAAAGTTAGTCCACACGTTTGTGAAATCACGTTTAAATTATTGTAATTCCCTGCACCACAAACTTGATTCCTCTTTAATAAACAGATTATAATTAGTCCATCCTGTGCTTCTGTAACGTCATTGGCTCCTTGTACCTTTTAGAATTCAAATTAAAGCTGCACTGTGTAACTTTTTGGTCGGGGGTCAGTCACCTTCTTGTTTCTATGGATATGTCATTGCTCTGCCTGGAATGTTCCACACTATGACATTAAACAGCTCCAACTTGTGATGATCAAATTGCAGGTGGTTTTATAGCTCAAAAACACCTCGAAAAATAAGCATTCTGACTGTGAGCGGAGTTGCCTCTCCACAGATCTGACCTGTAACTTAGTCTGGTTTGGTCTCCATGATGATTGACAGGTCATAATGAAGCGTTTGGAGATTTGGAGAGTCATTTTTGTGTAATATAATACCATTACAAGCCATAAAGTCAGAAGATAATAAAGAGTTACACATTATAATGAAAGGCTGAAGTTGGGTGTTGAAGTAGGAGGTGCTCACTCTATGCAAAAGCAAATCCTCCCCTCATATTACAAATGTGGTTGTGTTCAGCATTGACACCAAACCATCAGCAGCGATGATATCTGCCAAATATTTCTTGGTTCTTCTTGTGTATATCAGCGGCTCAGGTGAGACCAGTATTTGCTTTTTACTGTATTCTCTCACTGAACTAAACTAATGAATTAATGCATTTTAGGAGCTGAAGGCCAAACCCTGGTTCAGTCTGAAGCAGTGGTCACAAGTCCAGGAGGGTCACACCGTCTGACCTGTACATATTCAGGATTCAGTAGTAATTATGAGACTGTTTGGATCAGACAGGCTGCTGGGAAAGGCCTGGAGTGGATCTCTTACATTAGCGATGGCAGTGTAACTAAGCGCTACTCCGATTCAGTGAAAAACCGCTTCACCGTGTCCAGAGATAACAGCAGAAAAGAGGTGTATCTGCACATGAGCGGCCTGAGAGCGGACGACACTGCGCTGTATTTCTGCGCCAGAGACACAGTGAGACAAACAGTGGAAGAGCTGTACAAGAACTACTTCCTCATTTTATTTTCTCTCTGTTACTTCACTTCAGTAATGAACAGACAAAACACTTCAGTAACAGTACTTTTAAAGGTGCACTAGTTCACTGTTGTGGTAGAGGGGTCCCCCACTTTATTGTTTCCATGGTGAAGTTATAAAATGTTCCACTGTATTGCAATAAATGTATCTCCATGGAGACAACATGAAGTACTTTGGCATATGGAAGAGACTTGTTCAGAGTAAAACTATTTTTGTCTGGACTCAGGCTAGATGATGGTGTGGCTGAAAATATAATTATTTTGAGAGGAGACAGTTTTGGCTCTATTATATTACTATTATTATTTTAATAAAGAATATAATTTTATTTTACGACTTCCTCACTTTCTTCAAACATGCAGCTTTATAATTGTCACTGCATGCACTTCATTTTTTTCAGGTTGCAAGGATTTGTTGATTGTCAGCCCTGTGTTAAAAATAATATTTGAGACTAAATTCATGACTAGAATAGATAATAGAATTAGTGGAGGTAAATAAAAGATACAACAAGTCTATTTAATGACAATTGTCAGGTTACATATGTGTTCATTTATTTACCGTATTTTTCAGACTAGAAGTCACTCCGGATTATAAGTCACACCAGCCAAAAAATGCATAATGAAGAAGAAAAAAACATATGTAGCAGAGCGGCATATTTGTAAGTGTACTTCAAGGTAGTAAAGTTGCCAACAACGCCACCTGGTAATACCAGGACACAGTGTTTTTCCCCACCCACTATGGACACACAGGTTCGTTGACTGAATATGGCATGAGACATGAATACACTTTACAATGAATTTATTATCCATTTTTGCAAAGGGTTAATCACATACATCCTCGACCAGTCCTGTGCGTTCATTGTCCATTGGGTCGCATGGCCTCGTTGCTTGGAATTACCTTAGGACCATTATCAGAATCAATATCGCGCCTCACAGTAGCGCTTCCCACAAGACGAAGACTTCAGAGAGCGAGTCCTTTCACCAAGTGCCACGACCACCGAACAGACCAGGTACACGGAGAAAGAAAAAGAAAAAAAAGGGGAGGCTTCCCGCCAGCAGGAGCCTAAATATAACATGTTACATTTAACGTACAATACACACAATATAACCTTTACCATTGTACGTAATACGAGAAATATATTTCACTGAATACCAAACTTTTTTTGTGATTCAAATTTAACTTGTTGTTGACCAGTATTGACAGGGTGAGTCTCACATATGCTCTGCTTAGGGAACATGGTCCATAACTTTAAATCTCCTCACAAACCCCTCCTCTCCACAGCCTCATGTAAATATTGTATCCTTGGAGTCTACTGTTATAAAGTGACAGACACATCCTTTCTAACACAGTCTGACCATGATGAACACACTGGTCCTCCTGATGGGGGCGCTCTCCCTGCCCTGTGAGTTCACTTCTCCACAAACATGTTCAGTATGTTTGGATCGTGCATGTGTTTAACTCGTTTTTATTTGTCAGGTGTGAGTTGCCAGATCCTCCAGTCCATTCCATCTTCTCCAGTGCTCAAAACTCCTCAGGAGTCTGTCAGTCTTTCCTGCAGTGGATCTGGGTTTAACTTTTGTGGCTATGGGATGAACTGGATTAGACAATCTGAAAGAAAAGGGTTGGAATGTCTGGGGCTCATTTATTACGATGCGAGTAAGACGTATTACGCAGACAGTGTTCAAGGGAGGATAGAAATCAGCAGAGACAATGTCTAAACCTGCAGCCTGAGGACTCTGCTGTGTACTACTGTGCCCGACACACTGTGGTTTGACTTTATTATGAGTCTGTACAAAAACCAGCACAACCTCCAGGGGGCAGTAGATGATGGGAAATGTTTGGTCTCATATTTACTTTGTTTTATGGTGTTTGTTTATGTGCTGCTTTGTGTTGTGTTGTCCTGTTTTTGATAAAACATGTTACCCCCTGTCCCAAGACAAATTTCTCCCATGGGAGACAATAAAGGATTATCTTATCTTATCTTATCTTACAAATGTGTAGTGAGTTGGTCTTGTGCTTTTACCTTCCTCTTTTCACTGTCATTTTATTCAGATATTCTTGATGAATGATTAAAAAATGTTATGTGATCTCAAGAATACAGTGAACTTAGTCATTAAGTAACGAGCTCATCCCAAGTTAGACAAAAACATGCAACACTTGCACACACGAATTCTCACTGCCTATTTCCACAATTTCCTATTTTTTTTTTCTAAGAAATGCCCCTCCCTGTTAGTGTGAATGCAAACTACTGCTGTGCTCCTGTGTGTTTATATAAGGCCCATGTGAGAGTGTGACAGTGCACTCCACACTGATGATGTTGTCTGTAGCTCTTCTGCTGCTGCTGGCAGCTGGATCCTGTAAGTCTCTGTTCACATCAGTAAACTCTGGTACAACTAAAAGCACAGTTTGATCCTCAAATAGTTGTGCTCTGTCCTCCACAGTCCTTCAAATTCAATCTTAAATTAAAATTTCCCCCACAAATCAAAATGCCTTGTGTTTCTGAAATAATTAGATGAAAAATGGTCTAAAGAAAGCCCAATTGGAATTTGGAGGTGCATAAACATTCACAAACACAACAGGGTCACTAGTGAACCCCCTTATCCTTCCTCTTAAGAGAACACTGCATTATGAACACTGATATTTTCACCATGTGTCTCTATGTCCATCCTATTTAAACAGAGAACAGAGACTCTCAAACACAAGGTGGAGTGAACAGAGCTTTACACACCCAGACCCACTCCTCGTCTGGACACACAACTACATCAGGCAAACTACTACCTCAAGTGAATGAATGTAAAAGCATGTAGTCTACAGTCTCACCACTAGAGGAGGTGATCACTTCATACAGGTTTTCTTCTTACTGTTCATTTGTGTCCAGGAAATTTGAAAATGAATAGAAAATTTGTGTTTATTCAGTGTACTGCCTAAAGGCCATAGATGTGCAGTCACACACAACCCCAAACAGGACAAAGAGAGAGGAGATGAATGTATAAAAACATCTTGATGCAGTCAATAAGAAAGATTTCATGTGACCACAGGCCTTCAATGAAAAGAGCTGGTGACGATCAGAAGTTCTGAAGTTAAACAAAACAAGTTCAACACCAAAAACACAATCTGATGTAACGTAGTATAAAAAGTAACCACAGATATTTTCACACAGATGCCCCTCCCTGTTAGTGTGAATACAAACTACTGCAGGTCAGTTTGGTCTGTTTTGGGCCCATGTTACCCTGTTTTCTCATCTGTTCTAATGTTGTTTTCTCATCAAAATTATACCCAGAGTTGTTTTTGTTTCTTTCACACAAACCCTGCATATTTAGGCAGAGTTAGAAAACAGACTATTCCACTTTGTGATGTCATTAGTAATTCCACTGTGTTTTTAAACTCAATACACCTTCACAATAGAATATTTGGATAATTTCAGTGCTGAAATGTATAATCTCTACTAAACTAAAGGTAAAATATAGCTGTTAACTTGAAAACTACAGCTTCATGACAAAACATGAAAACTACAGCTTTGGAGATGTAGATAGACTAAAAATAAAGGGTTACGCAAACATGTGAATGAAACAAAACACAACTTCAGGTCTGATTTTGAGGAGGTAACAACATTATGTTTTAAAGCTCACAGGACTCAAATTTGGGCAGTGCAGACCTTAACTATGTCTCACAATGGTTATGACAAAGTTGAATAATGAAAGTGAGTGTTTAATCATAACACAATAAACCTCCTGGATGCATTGTATTCTAATATTAATTATAAAGAAAACAGCTGATGATGATTTAAAGTTTGTCAAGTTAAAAAGCCCAGCCCCTGCACCAAGTTTCACCTCCAGTCCAGAGCCTGTCTCCTCTCATCTCTGCTCCCTCCTCTTCCTCCTCCCCTCCCTTTTTATTAGTTGATTAGGTTATTTTCAGTCTGGCCAGTAGATGGCAGCAAGACAAAAAACAAGGTAACCAGGTGTGTCTCTGTAATCATTTAATTAGGCCCAGGTGTGGGCAAACAATTCAAACCAAACCAAGGAATGTGAGGGGAAACAGAGACACTACTGGTAAGGAAATTTAACTTTAAAATTAGTTCAAAAGGAACTGTAAATAAATTCAATTTAAGTTTGAAAATGCCAAAAGAATTAAGTTGAATAACTAAATTGTTTAAATCAGATTTACTACTCTATAAATAAAGAAAATGATGTAAATCCTAAGTTTAAGTAGCTCTAGTTAAATATTATATAAATATATGTTTTTTAGCAATTAAAAAACAATGTATTTATGTATCAGGATTTATCTTCAAGTATTACTTTCATATTCATTTAAAACTGTATAAAAAGTTAATTATTGGATTAAAAAATTATTGGTTAAAATGATAGCTATTTAAGTTCATGTGTGAAATGTGCTAGATAAAAGTACAATACATGATATATATTATATATAAATGATATTATAATTGAAGTGTATTAATTTAAATTAAATTGGATTATATAACTAATGAAATTGTAAAATGCTAATTTAATTACACATTTGTTTACTTTAAAGGTTTTCGACCTGCTACTGCTACTGCTACTGCTACTAAGCTACCGCTACTGCTGCAGCTACATCAACTACAAATACCACTACTACTACTACTACAACTAAAATAATCAAATTATTTCAATAAAAAACTTCAAGCCGAGTTGAGCCTTGTGTCTGTTTCCTGTTTTTTTTCAGTTGGACCTGCATTCCTGAAATAAAGACTGACAAAGTTTCTGCAGTGAATCAAAACCTGTCCAACATTAATAATTACTGATATTTTCACACACATGCTCCTACATTTATTTTATAATTAGTCTCCCTCTGATGCCCCTCCCTGTTAGTGTGAATGCAAACTACTGCTGTGCTCCTGTGTGTTTATATAAGGCCCATGTGAGAGTGTGACAGTGCACTCCACACTGATGATGTTGTCTGTAGCTCTTCTGCTGCTGCTGGCAGCTGAATCCTGTAAGTCTCTGTTCACATCAGTAAACTCTGGTACAACTAAACAGCACAGTTTGATCCTCAATATTGTGCTCTGTCCTCCACAGGTGTGAAGTGTGAGACACTGACACAGCCAGCCTCTGTGACTGTGCAGCCAGGACACACTCTCACCATCTCCTGTACTGTCTCTTATGATGTTAGATATGGACATGGTTATGCGACACACTGGATCAGACAGTCTGCTGGGAAAGGCCTGGAGTGGATTGGAGGTCACTGTGCTGGATGTAGCGGAGCATTCAAAGATTCACTAAAGAACAAGTTCAGTATAAATGTAGATTCTTCAACTAAAACAGTGACTCTGAGTGGACAAAACATGCAGCCTGGAGACACTGCAGTGTACTACTGTGCTCGAGAGCCACAGTCACACAAAGTATATGTAGAGCTGTACAAAAACACATCAGACTGTTATTCACTGTATCTACCAGAGGAGGAGCTCTGACACTATTGAAGTCATGTGATTTGTTTAACGGCAGCTTGACTTGTGGTACCAACTTCCTCTTTTCATGATTATATCTTAAAGACACAACAGGTCAAGTAATCTGAAACTAATTTTACATTCGTGCATACAATTGTTTTCTGCATGTACGACATGGGTAGAGTGTAAAGCAGTGGGACCATCAACATTGGAATTCTACCTATTTTACAGTCCAACACCTTATGCAGGTTTCTACTAAAAATGAAAAAGTAATCAATTCTTAAAAAAAGGACTATGGATTTGAGAAATATGTGTTGTCTTTTTCTGTACGATTGAATTGTCACCACATATCTATGAGCCCAAGACTATCCATTATTAACGATTTAAAATTTGTATTTATTAGTTTTGGTTATGTTTGGGTTAGAGGAGTTAAGATTCAAATTTAATCCATCCATTTTCTTCTGCTTTATCCAGGGCCGGATTGCGGAGGCAGCAGTCTAAGCAGGGACTCCCAGACTTCCCTTCCCACACACACACTCTCCAGGGGGACCCCGAGGCGTTCCCAGGCCAGCCGGGAGACATGGTCCCTCCAGCGTGTCCTGGGTCTGCCCTAGGGCCTCCTCCCGGTGGGACATGCCCAGAACACCTCCTGAGGGAGGCACCCAGGAGACATCCAGAGCAGATGCCCGAGCCACCTCAACTGGCTCCTCTCGACGTTAAGGAGCAGCGACTCTACTCCAAGCTCCTCCCATGTGACTGAGCTCCTCACCCTAACTCATTTTGGCCACTTGTATCCGCGATCTCGTCCTTTCGGTCATTACCCAAAGCTCATAACCATAGGTGAGATTCAAATTTAATCTTAAATTAAAATGTCCCCCACAAATCAAAATGCCTTGTAATTCTGCAATAATGAGATGAAAAATGTGTCTAAAGAAAGCCCAGTTGGAATTTGGAGGTGCAGAAAAATGAATCTTTAAATTAATTCTTCTTCTTAAGAGAATGTATCTACCTCCCTTATCTTTATTCTCAAGAAGTGGTTCAAAAATAATTTTACTGGATATTAAAACTGTCACCCCCCACCTGTGTTCTGCTGGGTAGGATGAGTACTGATATTTAAAACCCATTCTAGACAGTTTAGCATGTTCTGTTTCAGAGAGATGGGTTTCCTGCAAAAAATGCTCATCAGATATTTTCTCTCTTTAATTTTGTCAATATTTTGCTTTGTTTGATTGGGCTGAGTGACCCATTCACATTATAAGTCACCACTTTAAGTGTTTGCGTCTCTGGATTTAGTTAACAATTTAACATATGTCATCAAGACATCACCCCCATAACACACACAAACAGTTAAATGAACTGGCTTGAAAAACAAAAACAAAAAACTGACAAATGTGGGATCTTAA